AATTATTAATGGCTTAGACTTTAATTCTAATTATTCAATTTAATGCAAATAAATATAAATAACGCATCAAATTTAGAAACTGAATATTTATGGAAATATAGTCGAGCTCCATAAATAGTAAATAAAAATCTGGGCGTTACACGGGGGGTGTACGACAATGGCTTCAACATGATCTTGTTGGGGTGGCCTACCCCCTCACTGTCTCGTCCGTGACCATTTAGGCGCCTAGCCTCTTCCTTTGTACCGAAAAAAAAAGAATAAGGATAGGAGGAATTTAAGCATCTACAATGCATTGGGTCTAGTATTCTTATGTATCATGTAAATAAACTTAATGAATGACATGGATAAAATTAACAAAATATACTCCAATGCAAAGAGACTAGGTCTCTAGCTACATGGGTCTAAAATAGACTTAAGGATAGACGTGGTCTTTTTTTCTGGCTGCAAACATAAGCAGGAACCAGTCTACCTCTATTTGCATCGGAGAATATATTTTTTCAGACTGAGTCTATTTCATATGTGGCATATAATTTTTGTGCTTTAGGGCTTGATAATTTATGAAATAATTTGTTCAAAATGAGTTATTTTAGTTAACCATAGTTAATACTGAAAAGGTAGTAAAATTAGTTGTTAGTAGAATTTTAATAATGTATTAAAATAATATTAAAAATAAAATGATTAAAATTGATTTGATTTAAAAGTAAGCGATACATGATTGGAAATGATAGGTAGTTAAAAATATGTGAGTGGATGAATAGTGAATTAAAGTTGATATGATGTGTAAGAATGATTGGTTTGTATTATTTAATTATATGAATAATATTAAAGATAGTGGAGTTGAGTTAAAGTTGAGTTAAATTTTGAGTTGAAATAAAAGTGGGTAAATTAATCCATAAACAAGCAAGCCCTAAAATTTATAGTCATCTAATGTTTCTTGAGATAGGACTAGTAAGTAATTCGTGCGATGCATGAGTTGTATTTATTTTGATAAATATTATAATTTGAGGTGTTTTAATAAATAAAATAGTAATAATTCCTAGGAAAATTGTCAAATCATAAACTTTTCCTAATGACATGACATATTATTAAAAATCTCATTGTACACAATATTATTAGTTTGATTATTGGTTAACTCGTCGTCCCCATAAATTAATATTTCAACACATTCTATTACTTACATGGAGATACCAACATATAATTTACGTGACTAAAAATTGATTTCACATGTCAACATACGATAAAGACTGACGTTGACTTTTCTTTATCGTAATGACATACAAAGCTATAAGTAACAACCGGCGTTGTTGAAACTTAAATATATAGAACCCTAAGATCATAATGATCTATTTATAATATGATAATTTACCTGCCAGTTTGACAAATGAGTTGCTAGTTTATAATTTTAATATCTATTATACTTGATTAACTAAATAATATTTATTATTACTTTAATGATTTTTTTATTGTATTAAAGAACATATTAAACATGTATGTTTAAAATATTAAAAACACCTAAAATATTATATAACATGGGTAAGATTATCTAAAATATTCTATATTATTCTTTAAAAAAGTGAAGTCTCCTAAAAATTTTTTAATTTATTTTGTAAGTAATCATGTCTAAAAACACCTACGTGTAAAACACACACACACACACATAATGTGTTTAAAATATTCAAAATATTATTAACTATATTCGTGAATAAAATGTATTACCGTCTACAAAATATTATGTATACAACCTACCAAACATTAGACATACGCTAATTTTATGTGAGAGATTTATATAGTAGATATAAAATATAAAAACATTAGATACTAGACATTAATTCACGTTAATTTTTCAAGTCGAACAATTTTTAGTTGGACCACTACCCTCTTATATGTATGAAAACTTTTTATTTAGTAGATTTATATATACAGATATAGATTTTGCCTAGCAGATTTATACTTTATCCATACAAAAAATAGAAAATAGATTTACTTATCTCTCGGGTCGTTGCTGCCAATATCCTAAAGGTCGCCATTGTCTAGGACTATCATCTCAGGATCGATGATCGACATCTCAGGATCGACAATCTGCATCTCAAGATTTCTGATTTGCGATCTGTGATCTGCGGTTTGCGACCTGCCATCGTCATTTGGTGATCGTCATCTACGAATGTCCCAGGCCAATCTCCCTACAAAAAGCCTAGTTCCAGCGCCCAGAACCAGAACATACCGCCCAATGCAGACAGTCTTGCTTCTTACAAAGAAGATTGTCTGAACATGTGTCCTGCAACATGTCACCTTGTAATTCATTCAGAGACTGGCCCGTGTTCAATCAACTTTTTCTTTTTTCAGGTTGTAAATAGCCACACTATATACCATATAAAAACCAGGAAAAAAAATACTCCATAGATACATATATGTACAAAACACCACTGTACTACACAAAATTCCCTAGAGAAAAACAATTATTCTCCTCATAGGTCTCCATAATAGGTCGTCGAAGTCGATGTGTTTTTATTTTTGCAGTTACGCTTTTAACGGTTGATTAACTTAATACTCACACTATCCCAAAATTAGCATATTACCGCTTTATATTGTGTTGGAAAAATCAACAATCAACGGTACTAAATAAGGTTCTTGGTGCTCTGAAGACGAACCATCCACGAGGATCTTCGGGGCTTTGACATGTAAACCCAAAAAGGGGAAGAGTAACTCAAAGGATAAAAGAAAGAAGAAACTGCAACTTGAAGATGAGGACGAAGATGAATAAATAGCACGTGAGGATGCTGATGAAGATGAAGAAGCTGCTGCGGAGGATGATGCTTCATCCGAATTTGAAACTTGATTTGCCTTAATTGATTTTCTCTGGTTATGTGTTAAACAACTATTAGCTTCAATTCATACATGTCGTCATCCCTATCGCTTTTTATCAGGTTCTTCCAGTTGTTGATCTCGGCCCGACCCACGATCCTCCGCCTCATTGCTTTGGGGATTTCCATTCATAGAAATTTTAGGGATTTAAGATGTAGAAAACCTCCTTCGCGTGTTTTTTGTACAACATTCCTTAGAGGATGATCTTTCCAAGGATTACACGAAAAGTTGATAAATGAGGAGAAACTGAAAAAAATGTAAAAACAAGTGCAAGAAGTTGATCTGCGACTAAAATGCGACCCGCGATTGACCGAATTGTTTACACAATTCTCTACATCTTATGCACTTTCTCAATTAACTTCGTCCATTTGTCGCATATTTTATCGTATAATTAGATCGAACTTACTAA